ATGAAGACTGTCTGCGGATTGCTGCGGCACCATCCAAAACAAGGGGCAACTTTCCGTTGCCGCGAGCCGGCGTGAGACGCCATTCAAACCAGGGGCAACTTTCCGTTGCCTCCACCCCCCTTCAAACCAGGGGCAATTTTCCATTGCCTCCGATCTGAGGTTGCGCATCTCAAAGAGTAAGTTCCATGCTTCTCGAGCATCAGCTGTTTGAAAAATAGTTTTTGAAAATTTTTACTGAGGTTGCCTATTTTCTCGAAAACTATTCCATTTTCCAAAACTGGACCATTGTCTTGGACGACCCAAAAAAGGAAAATTTTCAGTGCTCATAGCCTGACTTGCATGATTTTCAAATCAAAAATCGAACAAGTATGTTAATCTAACTCTCATATTGGTCAAAATTGTTTTAGTAGAAAACCCAAAACAAAAAATGGTCAAAATGATGAACTAGGGGCACAGTTGAGTCAGGCTTCCTGTCTTTCCCCCGTTGTCAATGCACCTGCCAGAAAAGGGCACCTCTGAAGCTGACCGCAAAAGGGCAGAAGGCTCTCACATCCTTCACGCAACGAGGTATCAAGCTAAGTGCGAGGCACGAACGGGAATGGGGCGAGATATTCCACTCCCTCATCTGGACAGATCTAACCACGTCCAAACTCCCCAGCAGGGCATCATCAACCGATGCTAGCTGCAGATTTGCTACACACCCAGTTGCAGCACAACCCCTCTATGGGAGAAACTTACTGTTGCGAACAAGAGTCTGGTAAAATACCAGGGGCAAGAGCCCACAATTTCCAGCTTATCCATCAACCACCCAGGGGAGGGATGAAAAACGAGAGATTAAAGAATAGAGAGATGTGCGATGAGAGAAAAAGTGAGAAAAGGGCTTTTTCAGAAAAATAGAGCTTGAGGGCCGAGTGATGTGAGGATCACAAATGAGAGAGGGTGGGAAACATAACCCGGTGAAACAGGCTCCCTGTGCACGTCTGAGCGTCGTATCTTTTTGTTTTATCTATATTCTTGTTTGGAGTCGTTTCGAGTGTTACTCGATGTGTTTAGGTTGTTTACCTTTTATTTTCCGTTGTTGAGTCGTAGTGCACTGTGTTCAATCATAGGCTTAATACCCTAGTCAAGAACTCATCTCTCAATTTCCAAAATAAAATCGTTTTGCGCTCCGAGTGCCGTGCCGTTCTCCACATTTGTGCAAAATAGGATTCGTTCTTTCATAAAACCGCAGGGTTCAACCTAGGTCATGTCAGAACAGTAAAGCCAGGACCTATCTGAAGCTATATGGGTTCCAGACTACAAAGCAAAAGAAAAGAGGGAAAATGTCGGGTATCTGAGTTTGTTTCAACTTCAGTAAGTTCCGAGATTGTATTCCGGATGTACCTTTTCAGGTCTTGCCAATGCTCCAAAGTATGACTGTGCCTCTACCTCAAGCTCAAGATCAAGTCTACTTCAAGCCAAAATGGCGATCAAAAGTGCTCTCCCTGAGTACCATTCCCTGCCAGAGGCATCTTGGCTGTGTTCGCAATGAGTTCCTAGGAGACCAACTGCGACGGTGGAAACTAGAGTTCGAATGGCTGATGCCTAGGACGCAAAGGTTCGGGATTTCCGAGACTAAAGTCTGGTTTAAATACCCAGAGGCGTGTCCTCGGCTTGAAGTCTGTATGGAAGCCCCATAGGTTGAGATAGCGTGTATGCACCTCAATTCTGGATACTGAACCAACTTAGTCTGTCACTGGGCCGAAAACCCGGAAGGGCGGCCCAGGCAAAAGTTAGAGCAAGAAAAAAATACAAAAAGAAAGATTGAAAAA